GGGACACGGAGTTAAGCTCGGAGGGGCGTCGCTCCGACTCGCTTCGCGGCCCTGCTCGGCGAGCCTTCGTCGAAGATTAAAACAGGCTCCGTCGCGGAGAACTTTAATAGATTTCCCGGAGAAGAACCGGAGAGGATAAGCTATGCAAAGTGGTGTGCAAGCTCGCCGCTTGGAAAACAACCGCGGCGTGGAGGTTCCGTGGCGTATCGATCCCCCCGCGCCCTTTGTTTCTGTCCACTTTCCCCTAATCGAGCCTCTGCCCTAACCGGGAAATTTGACGTCACCGGTGATACGCTCGGCCGGATTGTAAACGAGGCGTCGCACCTTCCCGCAGCCTTGTACGCGATGCATTTGTAATCGTCGAATGAAAGGGAACGGGTGGAAGGTCCAAGGAGAGTCGCAATCTTTGCTGGGCGAAATTTATTAAGAGCATGATCCGCGCGATATTTCCAGCGACGCGATCGAGCCATAAATTCAGCCCTGTAATTCAGATTCGTAATTCGTTTCGCGCGGGGATTATATCGTGCATTTACGAACACTGCGCGGAGTTTGCACAATAAAATATCAAATCAAATGTTGATACAAGTATTAGATTAAAGTTTCTGCCGAGAATTGCATTTTATATGTTTCTCGATCATGGATAAAGGGGAAAGCTGACGCCAGTGTGCAATAAATTACAGTATTTGCAACCTGAAATCATTCCTTGTGCAATGAACAGAATTTTTATTACTCGGAAACTAAGTCTGTCAATATTATCAGAAGATAAAATCGATTCGTATGTCGTCTTCTAAAAATAGTTCTAGATTCTACACTTACTTCCGAGCTTCGTCATTTTTTTCCCGATTCCGAAACTCTTCTCTGCAATTTTTTCCTAGGTTCAGCGATTCCTCTCCAACGTCTACAATTTTTCCCCGGCTCCGCGATTTTTCCCTGGGATCCGCAATCTTTTTTCTAAATCTTACGACTTTACCCTGGCGTCTATAATTTTCTTCTAAAGCTGACAATTTTTTCGCCGGAGCTACAAGTTTTCTTCAGGGCTCCGTAATCTTTCCCCGAGGTTTACGATTTTTCCGTAGAAACCACAATTTACAGGATGTCCCAAAAATGTCATGCAATCCGGAAATATGGAGTTCCTGAGGTCATTTGAAGTAACTTTTTCCTTAGCGAAAATGCAATCCGTTGCTCCGTTTACGAGTTATTAACGAAATACTCTGACCAATGAGAGAGCGAGAGCGGCCGGCGCTCCGCCCATGCGGCCAATGCCGCGTCGCGCCGGCTGTCTGACGCGGCGGCGGTGGTCGCGAGGGCGGGGCGTCGGTCGCACTCGATCTCTCATTGATCGCTGTTTTTCGTGAATAACTCGTAAACGAAGCCGCGGATTGCATTTTCGCAAAGGAAAAAGTTACTCCAAATGATCTGAGGAACCTCTCATTCCAGATTACGAGACATTTTTAGGACGCTCTGCATTAAGAATTGCATCGAAGGGGGAGCTAATATTAGTATGAGAGAATCCTTTGCACAAAGAGTTAATCCAACGCAATTCTATCTTCGAACTAGAGGTCGGCATCGTTTCCAAAACAATTGCACATTCCCAACAGTTCGTATCGCGATGTAAATACAATTCAGAACACCGCGTGGGTTGCAGCTCGGGACAATCGTCCGAGGACATCAATCTTGACCGGGCACGGGCCGCAACGGTTCCCGATTTAATTCGCGGCAGCGACTGCGGTTCCGTTGCATAATTCCTAACGCTCGCAAAAACCGCGCCGCGATTTACGGCCGACCGAAGGGATTGCGCAATTAGACCGAGGATCTGTGTGTCAGCAATTTTTTCGATGAAGACTTGACGCAACCGTCGCCGCGTCGCACGTTGGCACCGCGCCGCAACTGTGACACGCTGCTTGCGCAATCTTGCCAGTTTGCTGCGCGCTCGATCGATCGAATCGGTTCTCGAACCTTTCCGCTTCACCGCGATACAAGATCGATGGATCCTCGGATATCCGGCTGGATATTGCCGGTCGCTTCTGTTCATCGCGGGGGAAAAACCGCGATTATCTCGGACGATTACGCAAGCGTCGCGAACGAAAGCGAGGAAAGTGCGTTATGTCTGCGAGAGACCGTCCGCGCTGGTTCGCAGATAAAAGATCGGAGAACCGCGAAGGATTGTGGACACTTCATTTGCCGCATATAACCGGGAACGATTTATAGCCCGGTTGATGCTCGCGGTGCCTGCGAATTCGTAAAATAAACGAGCCTGTTGAATTCAATGACCGTAATTGGCCCGTTGAAATATCGTCGAGAGTTCGAACTGTCGGATCGCCGCGAAGAAAAATCGCGCGCGACAGTCTGTCCGGGCTTATTCTAACGTTCGAACTTTCGCGTTTGACGTTCCATCATTTCTTGACAGAGACGCGTTCACCGCGTCGAACAAGCGGCAAGTTGCCGCGAATTTCGGTGAAAGTTTGATGAACCGGGCGGAGAAGAATCGTGCCTCGAGTCTCTCTCGCGGTCGTCGTAAACGGAAGACTCCTGCTTCGAGACGACGTCCCGAAGCCGAAGCCGGATAAAAATAGTTCGGTCGTTCGAGAAAAACCGCTCCACCTTTCCGACCGATACACGTTTCCCCGTCGAAACTTGGAAACTCGCAGAAAAAGCGTATCCGCGGTGTGACTAAGAGATCGTTGCAATGTTGCAATCGTTCCGCGCCCCTTCTCCGGCGATCGTGCGCATTTAATCTCGAGCAGGCGAAACCTGGACCCGTTGACGAAGCACGAAGGTGTATACTTATCGAACGCGGGCAATCAAATATCTTCGTGCAACAGTTCGCTCGACGGGTACCACGTTGATTACATGCGATGCAAATTACGCGAGTGTGACGCGGATTATGTAGAACATCCGTCTGGAGGCGGATTGTAAAGCGGAGCGTGTTACGTAAAAATGCATGCGAAGTTGGTTCCGCGTCCGAAGAAACAGGGAGGAGAGGGGGAGAGAGAGGGGAAGACTTCGTCTCGCACTAAATTGCGCGCACTGTCATTCGACAATACGGTTTTCGCCCCGGCACCTTTGATTACGTGACCGGAATTTGCGCAATAGTTACGTTCACTTCGGCCGAGTAACCGAGGAACAGCAGCTTGCAGGCGCGCGCGCGCCCGCGTCCACGTAATTTCGCGCCAAGATTCCCGGGGGCAGCCCGTTAACGAGCCGCAGAAGCGGATTTCGCAATCCGCGTCGCTTGCGCAACCAGAAAAATCATTTGTGCGCGCGATCCGCTCCAAATTCGCGGCCGTCGAACCCGGCGATCGAGCCGAAAATCGCGGAAATGAAAACGTTCGAGCTGACGCCGGGCTTCCAATAATAGCTCGCAACGATCGAATCGATGCAAAGAGCTCCTCGGACTTTCGGCGAAGTTTCACCGCGGCGCGGGAAGAAAGTCGCCCGGTCGTCGATCTTGCCTGAATTCGTAAAACAATTCTTCGGAACGCTTCCGGACATGCTGCACGCTCGCGCAGCACGTCCGGCCGTTCGAATGAAAGTGGTTGTTACGTGCTCGAGACAAAAAGAAAACGCGAGTGCGGCGACGCACCGGCGCAGCGAGAAAGACGCGACGTTTCATCGGATTTTTTCGTGACTTCCGTGGCTGGTCGGCCCGGCAATATTTTTTAATTACACGTTTACGCTACAGCGTTTCGGCCCGGCCTCGTTCCTGCGACGCGACGCGCAGCGGAGGCTTCGCGATGCTCGCGTTTACGCGGCCTGGTTAATTAACCGCCTCGAAGACACGAATCGGTTTACTCGATTCCAGTTTGATGGAATATTGTAATTGCACGATCTCGTCGCGCTCCGGCGCACCGTCGCTCGGCGCTCGAAGCGTGCTGTTCGATTGGCTGCAATAAGCAGATCTCGATGGGGCTGAATGAAGATCTGCGAGGCCGTAAACTGACTTACAGGGTGTCTAAAAAATGTCTCGCAGTCCGGAAATGGCAGATTTCTCGGGTTGTTCGAAGAAACTTTTTCCTCAGCGAAAATGCAATCCGCGGCTTCGTTCGCGAGTTATTGACGAAAAACGGTGACCAATGAGAGACGAGCTCGGCTGGCGCGTGGCGGCCGCGCGAATGAGTGGGGGAAGTCCAGTACCGCTCAGTGGCTCCGCCGTCACGCGCCAGCCAAGCTCGCCTCCCATTGGCTACTGTTTTTCGTTAATAACTCGTTAACGATGCCTCGGAGAAAATTTTTTGCAAAGGAAAAGGTTGCTTCGAATGACCACGAGAACCTCCCGTTTCCGGATTGCGAGACATTTTTGGGACACTCTGTATATTACATCCGCGAGGACAGCGAGAAGCGAAGATTCGGTCCCTGATACGTGTATCTTCGTGATCTCGAACCGTCTATCCATTTTTCCGCGCGCTAACGCGATCGAACGATTTAATTTTGCTTCGAGTCGATGCATAATTGCTGTTCGCCGGTTGATCGAAATTGTACGAGAACGTGCCAGAATATTTTCTGCTCACGAGGGGTAGTTATTGGAATCCAAGCGATGGGTCGACGGTCTCGCGGCTTCTAGAAGTTCGTCTCACCGTGGCCTCCCGCGGGAATCATTTTGATCAGCCGACAAAAGGCACGCGAGCGGGACCAGGTTTTTCTCATTGACCACGTTCACGCAATAACGCCACTCATTTTAGTTTCGAGGACGATGGAAAAATACGGGCGACCGGTCGATTCTCGAACGAGCGCGCACACAGGAGACTCGCATCTCCTGTCCTCGCGTCCTCTCCAAACAGCAATCAGCCCACGGATCGATGCGCGTTCGACTCGCATTGTTCCTTCCCCGGCGAGCCGTCTGCCAATTTTATAATTCGATATTTCCACAATGCCTTTTCGAGGGATTAACTTCGGCGGCTCTCCGAGGCCGAACGATCGCGGGGCTCGCCGCGGGCACGTTGTCAGGCCTGGCACGATCCACGATTTGCATGGCTGTCCGCAAAACTTTTAGCATTACTTACAGCAGGATGTACAGCTTGGGATCCAGCCAGGCATCGTAGTTGCTCGAAGGCACCGGTTTTACATCGGCGATGATAATCTTCGGCCCGGTCGATCGATACGTCGAATTCCCCTCCCATTCGACCCTATCGGCGCTCGCCCTCAGCATCGAGGTCACGGATGTCCGATCGCACGTGGCCGGCAAACACAGCCCCAAAAACACTTGCTGTTGCTGCAAAAACAGAACCACGTTATTTACCGACTGAGATTCGACGAGAAGTCTCGGCGTTAATCGAACCCTGCAACTGCTTCCTTCGATTCTACGTTCCCTTTAAGGTGTACAAATTTTTCCCTAGGCTCCATAATTTTTTTTCAAGGTTCTATGACGTCTTTCTAGTGCTTAAAACGTGATTTCTAGGTTTCACGATTCTTCAATAGGGTCTACAATCTTTTTTCTATCTCTCACGATTTATCTGTAGGTTCTATAAACCTCCCTTGGGGTTTAACATCTTTTTTTAAGGCGTCACAATTTTTTTATAGGTCTCACAATTTTTTCCTAGATTCTACGAAACCTTTTTAGTATCTACAATTTTTTTCAAGGCTCCATAATTTTTTCTCTAGGATGTGCAATTTTTGTCTAGGCCCCACAATTTGTTTCTTGATTCTACAAGGCTCCCTTGGGTCTTAGCATATTTTTTTGGACTTCACAAGTTTTCTGAAGGCCCCACAATTTTTTTTCTAGATTCTACGACATTTTCCTAGTGTCTACAATTTTTATCAAGGCTCCACAATTTTTTCCTACGATGTGCAATTTTTTTCTAGGCTTACAATTTGTCTCTAGGTTCTACAAGCCCCCCTTGGGACTAAGCATTTTTTTAGGCCTCACATTTTTTTTGTAGGCCCCACAATTTTTCCCTAGATTCTACATTTTCCTAGTGCCTACAATTTTTGTCTAGGCTCTACAATTTTTCCCCAGTATCTACGATTTTTTCCTAGGCTCCACAATTTGTTTCTAGATTCTACAAGCCTCCCTCGATTCTTAGCATTCTTTTTCTAAACCTCACAATAATTTTACAGGTCCCACAATTTTTTCCAAGATTCTACGACATTTTTCTAGCGTCTACAATTCTCGTCTAGGTTCCCCAATCTTTCCCTAGAATCTACAATTTATTTCCAGGCTCCACAATGTTCCCCTATCTTCCACAATTTGTCTTCAACATCATTCTCCAGACTCCGCAACTTTCCCCAAGCCGAACAATGTTCTGCATGGCTCGAAGGAGTTTTATTTCCGACCTGCCAGCCCTTGCCACTCTCCCGTCCGTACCAGCGTCTGCGGTTTTCGACATGGAACGCTTGAAAAATTCCTTTTTCCCCGGGTTTCCCGATCTGTCTTCGTTCCCAGTCGTTTCGCCACGGTGCTTTCCGACGGTACAGCTTTGCGACCGCGGAAACCGCGACGCTGGCGCAAACTTAGCCGACATAAGCTGGATTTTCAGCGATAATCTCCTTCGGATCAAAGGATTCCGGACCGTTTCACGATGGGCGCACTGCACGCTGGCCGCACCCGAATCTCCCACGGCTCTTGACAGCGCGGTGTACGCGGCGACGGGGATTAATTGTGCACGGCGCGGCGCCGTTCTTCGCGACCTATTCTTCCTCGATCCGGCGACTTTCTTAATGACGATCCTGATTACGTTATCGAGACGCGAGCCCTCCCCCCACCCCTCCCATGCAGCCGTAAACGAACTGCCCGAGCCGGCAAATATAATAAAGCCCTGTCGGGTCCAATTAAACGGAAACCGTGGAACTCGCGTTTCTCGGCGAGTTCGGCCGACAGCTGCTTCGAGGAGCTTGAAAAGCTGCGAATGGAATTAAAACTGTTGTATAGGGCGGCCAGCTGGCCGAGCCGGGGGATTCTGGAATTCTGGCCAATCAAATTTCTATTCACCGAGCTGTTTGTATTTCGCCGGGGGCCCGGCGAAGATTGGCCCGCGCGTACTCGCGGAAATTCAGGAGCGTATTAAAATAATTAGCCCGGCCGTAAAAAAAGACCGGTCCCTCTGTAAATATAATTGCCGCGCTTTTACGGCGTCGGAAAATCGACGAGCGAAGTGGGCGAGGTTTACGAGCCCTCTTTCGGGGCTGGTAAAAACGTCGAAATCGATTTAAACGCCGCGCCGGCTCGCGCTCGTTTTATCCGGCATTTTTAGAACGCGTTTCTTGCCGCCGCGATGCCCGCGACCAGCCAATTATCGAACAACTTCGTTCGACGCACTTTTATTTTCTCCGCGATGCTCCAGTTTTCCGCGGGACATCCAGACGCATAAATCGCCGAAGAAATTTAACCGTGTCCCGCGTTGGCCCGGGGTTCGCCGCGCAACCTTTCCACGTCGCCCGAGCCGATCCGAACAAGAAAAGCACGAAAAAAAAGCGGCATGAATAATTCATTAGCGGCCGGACGGTAAACACTCGCGAACGAACTTTCGGATATCCATGCATGCTAAAACAACCGCGCCAATTACGCGAGCCGTCGTGTAAACGGATGAAGGAGAAGCGCGAGCATTGTCGCCGTGTTGTACAGGGTGTCCCAAAAATGTCTCGCAACCCGAAAGTGGCGGGTTCCTCAGGCCATTTGAAGCAACTTTTTCCTTTACAAAAATGTTCTCCGAGGCACCGTTAACGAGTTATCAACGAAAAACAGTGACCAATGAGAGGCGAGCTCGGCTGGCGCGAGGCGACCGAGCCAATGAGCGGAACTGGACTACGCGCGCTGGTTGGTTGGACCGCCTCGCGTCAGCCGTACTCGATTCTTATTGGCCACTGTTTTTCGTTAATAACTCGTTAACGGTGCCTCGGAGAACATTTTTGTAAAGGAAGAAGTTGCTTCAAATGATCCGAGGAACCCGCTATTTTCGGATTGCGAGACATTTTTGGGACACCTTGTACTTTAAAGGGACCTTTGTCACCCGGCTCGACGAGTCATTCTCGTTTCGTTTCGCTCGTCTCTCGAATAAGGGACCCGGTTGCCGAACGTTGTTTCTTCGCGCGAATCGGCCTCCGTAATCCATTCAGTTAGATTAATTAGCCGGCGACTAATTCCGTCCGGCACGGGGGATACAAATGATTCAGCAGGTGTCCCCGCGGCACGTGTGCGACTCCGATCCTCGCGTTTAATTAATCCGCTCGTAATAATTCATTAGCCGTTACGGCCTTCGTGTTATTCGACATCCGAAAGCGGATTAACGTCGCCGGATTAATTAAGCGCACTGTCATCGTCGTCATGCGTCAGCGGGCAACGTGAACACGCGCTGTGCCCCGTCCGTCCGTCCGTTTGTCCGTTCGTCCGACGCGACGGCAGAATTTCACCGGCAATTATACATTAACGGATCTCGTCGATCGCGCTCGCAATTACGCTGATTTCTTCCGGCGGGGGAAACGCAGCGCTCCGATTTTTTCCGGGGATCATGAATGCGAATCTCGATGCGGTAATCGAGGAGAATGCTGTCCAACGAATTTCAATGCTTTCGGCGCGTTTCAATTTTGTCGTCGACGATTCCGATTGTATATTTCTGCTTTAATTGGGCAAGCGGTACGTTCGTTGCGCGATCGATTGTTGCATTTATTTGCTCGGATTTGGAATGTACACAGGATGTCCCAAAAATGTCAAGCAATCTGGAAATGGGGGATTCCTGAGGTCGTTTGAAGAAACTTTTTCCTTTGCGAAAATGCGATCCGCGGCTTCGTTTACGAGTTATTAACGAAAAACAGCGACCAATGAGAAATCGAGCGCGGCCGGAGCTCCGCCCTCGCGACCACCGTCGCTGCGTCAGATGGCCGCCGCGACGCGGCATTGGCTGTAAGGGGGAAGCGCTGACCGCTCTCGCTCTCTCATTGGTCGCTGTTTTTCGTTGATAACTCGTAAACGAAGCCACGGATTGCATTTTCGCTAAGGAAAAAGTTTCTTCAAATGACCTAAGGGACCCCTCGTTTCCTGGAAATAGCATAATTTTAGGTGACGAATTGGGCTCCGAATTGCGAAACATTTTTGGGACAATATTATATATACTATAGTATGTATAATATGTATATATAGTATAATATATACAGTGTATCAAAGATCGGGACCTGCAAAATTTGTCAAGATTGAAACATTATTCGACATCATACACCTGAATTTCCCAATTTTCGTTTCTATGATACATAATAATTTTATCGCTTCGATTTTACGGAATCATTAGATCGCCCGTTTGGAATTCGAAGCGTTGAAACAATCGTGAAACCGTAAACGAAAGTGCGGAACATTCTTGGAGCGGCAAAGGGTTGAGCAACCGTTATCAGGTTGCCAAGTTGCAAGTGGAATTTACGGGCAGCGAATGATTAATTTATGCATTGGATCAGTGGGAACGAAGCGTCGAACGGCGTGAGGATACTTACGAAAAACTGGAGCTCGGTCGGCAGGGCGAGCAACATCCTCGCCACGTGGAATTTCAATAGGTAGGGCGGGAAGGGGGGCTTGGCGTCGATTACCGGCCGCCCTTTTCCATCGGTGTGGTTCAGCTCCCGGCACAGGCTGCTCGAGCCCAGCCAGAACCCGTTACCGAAATGGAATTGCGAGGAGTAACGTCCGCTCGCGTCTGACACTGGAAAAAAAAGAGAGAGATGAGAGTTCACCTGCTGAGGAAACGCCGATAAAGGACGGTCTCGTGGAGCGGCAACGATAAGCGCGCGTATGTCCGCTCCGTAATCCCTTCAGAGGGATTCGGCCAGAGTGGTCGGCTCTCTCGACGGGAAAAACACCGGCCATAAAACTTAACGACGAAACAATCGCGGGAATTCTAGACGTGACCCGAGATTCAACCGAAAGCCCCGACGAATTAATATAGAGTAGTTTCTCCGAGAAATGTTTGGAAATAATCGAGAATAGCAGAGCTGAGAATACTGAGTCGCGATGAGACACGATCATTCCAGTCTCGCGGCTCGTTTTTTTATAGAAACTATGGTGTACATTAGTATGAATACATAGTAATTTTATTTCTAATTTTTTGCCACGATTCGGAGGCAATTCGGAGGCCACGTGACACGATTCGAAGGCAATTCGGAGGCCACGTGACACGATTTGGAGGCAATTCGGAGGCCACATGATACGATTTGGAGGCAATTCGGAGGCCACATGATACGATTTGGAGGCAATTCGGAGGATACGTGACACGATTCGAAGGCAATTTGGAAGCCACATGATACGATTTGGAGGCAATTCGGAGGCCGCATGATACGATTAAAGGCACTTCGGGAGTCACGTGACACGATTCGAAGGCAATTCGGAGGCCACGTGACACGATTTGAAGGCATTTCGAAGGCAATTCGCAGGCCACCTGCCACTATTCGAAGGCGGAACTCACGCCACACGTGTCACACGCTTGACTGACTCCTTCACCTTTAGTATCGACGTAGCAACAAATCACACAGGCGTAGGACTAGCACAATGAAATTCGCAGCAACCCGAAATTTGGCATTTTCGGGAGAAATTACTGTGCATGTACGTCAATTCTTGTATAATTTCTTGCATAATTTTTCATATCAATTTGTATGTAAATTTTAGCGACGATTCTCTATAATTTGCTCACAGTTCAGCGAAACACTGCGACCTCAATATACAGATAATTCTCGTATAAAAACGGTTTACGTTTCTAAAAACTGCCGCGTCGTGCGAATCCGTGTTAGCCGAAACAAAAAACTGGAGCAACGAGGGGAGTAAGACCCGTTTCACGCGAAGCTGCTCGTATCGCAATGCGCGTATGACGGATACCCCGAACGTGCGAGTAATTTTATGGCAATAATCTGCCGGCGATACAGTACCGCGATACTCTCTTTCGCGTGTTAAACAGCTGTTAGGTTCCAAAAATTCGAGAAACTGTTACCTTTTTTGTAATTAGGAGGAACGTATTTATCGAAGCAACCTTCATAAAAAGTATTACATATTAAATTAAAAATAATGTTTCCTTCGTAATCACCATTAAAACACCCTTAACCGAGGGCGTTTCCGTATCGACAAGGCATCCTCTGAACTTTCTTCGGCGTTATCTCGAGTTCTACGCCCTACTTCCTACAGCAGTAAAAAGGCAAACAGAAAGTTTTTTAAAAGTGTACTTAATACTTCGCGAACAAAATGAATTTCAGATTCCGATAAATTTGAAAATTCTGCCGGCGAATCTGATACGACGTGCACGCTCGTACGATTAATTTTCTCATGAGATATCTCGCGCGTTTAAAAGCTCTTGTTTTGTTCCGCGTTGTACTGCAAATTCTGCCTAATCGACGCTCAGCTGAGACACAAAAATGAACAATTTTTGGAAGGCCTTGCGGCTCGCTTTTTACAATTGTTGACAATCGGTAACTATAAAAATGAGCCTCTTCCTAAATTGTCCATTTCTCTGTTTCAGCCGAGCGTCGATTAGGGAGAATTTACTCTGTAGCGGTATTTCCCTAATTTTTCAAAGTCTGCATTGAAAAATGTTACGCACGTTGCACTGATATTTATCTATCGTAGCGTTTTTATCAAAGACGATTTTCTTCGTTGTTTTCGTTAAGCTCGCGGGCACCCAGGCTCCCAATTTTTCGGCAAATCCCATCGAACGAAGATGATCGAGAATCGTTTTATGATCGCAGTTCATTTTTTCGGCCGATTCACGACTTGTTCGGTGACCGTCCTCCTTCGAAAGTGCTTTGAGACGCTCTTCGTCGAATTCGGAAGGTCTTCCGATGCGGGGCGTGTCGTCGACGTCAAAATCGCCATTTTTGAACTTCACAAACCATTTCCGTGCTGTAGACTCGCCTATGACACCTTCTCTCCATACGTTGCAAATGTCCCAGGCTGCTTCGGCAGCTTTTTGGCCTCGATGAAAAGCGAAGGAGAGAAGGTGTCGAAAATGTTGCTTTTTACTTACTGGATATTCCATTTCTAAGCCTTAAAATTAATGAAAAATTAGATTACTCGAAAAGACGATTAGCACAGTTTCGTAGAACAGAAAGAGCTCTATCGAACGAATATCATACACTTCGTCGAACAGCAACAAAATCGTTGTAAAATAAAAGGAAATACAGGGTGTCCCAGGTTTGAATGTTCAAACTTTGTCAGTATATTCTATGGCACAAAGTAAGAAAAAAATGTTATGTAAACATAGGTCATATAGAGCTTTATTAAGAAGTTATAACAAAAGTTCAGAATAGGAATAGTAATCAACTAAAAAATAAAAAATAAAAAAGATCTTCGATCGATGTCAACAACTGTTATTAATACATTTCGAAATGTATTAATGAACACAGCTTACATAAACACACGGCATGTGCTGATCCATTCAAGCCAATGCTCGCAATAACAGCAAGTTGATTACTATTCCTATTCTGAATTTTTGTTATAACTTAATATTGATAAAGCTCTAATGTATAATAAAGCTAATAAAGCTCTATAATGTTAATAAAGCTCTATATGACCTATGTTTACATAACATTTTTTCTTACTTTGTGCCATAGAACACACTAACAAAGTTTGAACATTAAAACCTGGGACACCCTGTATAAAAGCCCTACGAACTTATTCCCCAACCTAATAATTCTCAGACGGTGTTAAATTAACCCCGTGCTCTATGGTGCCGCGTTGCACAAGGGTCTTCCCGAATTCTCGCGTTGTACGGGGGGTTGGCGGAAGCGATGAATATATTCGCGATCTTTTGTTCGCGGGGACGCGCGCGATGCAAATTTAATTGGACAACGCGAACACGGTCATCGTGTTTACACGTTTCCGGAAAAAGGTGAAACCAGAATTTCATGAATATTCGACGTGCGCGCGAGGCGCCGCGCCGGAAGCGCCGGCCAGAAGAAGGATGGAGGCGGGGAGCGCGATTAAAGCGTCCGCCATTTGTCCGGCAGTCTTCAAAGTTCAAGCATTTCATTAAATGCGACGTATCCCCGTTGTGAAATATGAATTTAACGAGACAAAAAGGGGGACGAAATGGGACACGAGCGCGGAGAACGCGGCTCGCGGCGCGCTGGTTCTCGGCGAATGGGAGGGAAAAAAAAGAGTATATGTATGTACATATGTAGTCACGCGTCGTTGACTTTTCCTTTTTCAATGGAACGGTCATTCAAAACGTTTTCCGCGTCGAACTGTTCTCTAATGTCGCAACTCGGAATGCAGGGTGCAGTCCCGTGTAAATAATTTTCAACGCGGTGCCGAGCGCGCGCGCGCGCTGTGAAAACGTACACACACACACACACGACTGTCAGAGGTTTGAGAGAACCAGTAGTCGTCGGAGGATCCGCGAACACGTCGGTATGCATGTTTTCGTCTCGGAAAAGTGAATCAACAACGGTTCAAACACGCCGCTGCCTGTCACTTATCCCGATGACTTTTCATTTGCATTTCTCTCCTCGACGTCTGCTCCCGCGTGCAAACTCTTATCGTTTTCTGTTCGATCACGCTTTCGAAGGAATTCCGCTTGCTGCTCGGAGAACTCGATCAAATTTTTATCTGGTGATCGTTCGGTTTTTCAGTTATAATATAGCCATAAAATTATATATTATGTATTATAAACTATATATTTTATTATATATATTATATAATATATATATAGTCAACAAGCAAACTGTTATTAGATAAAAATTTGATCGAATTAATAATAACAAATAATTGCGGGAATTATCAAGTAATTGATAATTCGATCAAATTTTTATCTAATAATAGTTTG